AGGAAGGAAGGAAGGAAGGAAGGAAGGAAGGAAGGAAGGAAGGAAGGAAGGAAGGAAGGAAGGAAGAAAAGAAACCCACCTCATGGATAATTACTATATGCTAAGGAAAACATATCTCAAAAAAGAGAAAGTTTTAGCTCTGGAGTATGATTGCATATTACATCTTTACTTCCTCTGAGTAAAGAAAGTTGTCAGAAGAGGTTGGGTAGTTTGATGGGCCACGGGTGTCTTACTTTCTTTCACTGTGTGATGATGATAAAATATTCTGACAGAACCAACTTAAGGGAGAAAGAGTTTATTTAGAGTTCACAGTGCAGGGTCTCATCCATCAAGCAGGAAGTAGGAGAGAGCCAAGGGTGAGGCTGTTGGTCACACCACATCTGGGCTCAAAAGCAATGAGCACCTGCTTCTTAGCTCCCTGGGCTCCACTTTTGGAAATGATGCCACCCACAGTGAACAGGTGTCCCACCTCAATTAAAGTAATAAAGATAACACCCCACAAGAATGTTCAGGCCCATCTCCTAGATGAGTCTAGATTCTTGTCAAGTTGCAGGTTAACACTATCACAATAGGTGATTGATTGAAGGGAGGGAAGGGAAAGAAGGAAGGGAGGGATGGGGGAGACAGAGAAACCACAGCCAGTTACAAACTGGAAAAACAAAGATACACAAATAACGCAACCGTAATATACTAGCTGTGTCAGAAGTAAGATGCTCACTCATTACAGTACGAATATTAACTGCTAACTGAACTGTCCTGTGTTGAGAGAAGGGAAGGCTGTGTGACAATCTGAAACAAGGACACATGTCAAGAGCAGAATGTCAGGAGGTGATGCCTAAGAATGAAAATTAAGAGACAGCAGGACAATCATGGTCCTGGAATAACAAAAGAGGAAGATCCTACAAGTTCTTTCTTTTCTAACAGTCACAAACCTGGGAGGGCACAAACTACATAGGATGCAATTTCCCAAAGTTAAATCACATCCATCACAAGTCAGCCAGCGAGGAGGACCCTGGGGCAAACGACTTCACAAAGGATCTACCCATCACAAGTCAGCCAGCGAGGACCCTGGGGCAAACAGGACTCCACAGAGGATCTACCCATCACAAG